CTGGCGCCCAGCACCGCCCCCGGGCCGCCCTCGCGCTGCCCCGCGGACCCGGCGCTCCCTCTCAGGGCGACTCCTCAAAGGCGCCTGGGGGAGGCGGACCCAGACCTAGAAGTCGGGGAGAAAGTTGCCTGTCTTCGGGGGTGTCCCCGAGGGGCAATGGAAGACACCACGTCCCCTGTTAGTTTTTCTAAGTCTGGTATTTGGGTTTTAAGTTCCAGATTTCTTACTGCCTTTAGGAGATGTAGACGTGGGAAGGAACGCTTTAGAGTGGTAAAGTGACCTTCTGAGCTTTGAGGAGGCTGTTGGGAAGTGACAAGGCCAATGTGGCCGTGGGAATGAGAGGCTGGTGGTGGGAGAGTGAGCGGAGAGCTCAGGGCTCCTGGACTCGGTCGGGTCAGGGTCAGGGCGGCCGTCTTCAGGGACAAGCCAGGGAGAAGTCACGGGAAGACTTCCAGGAGCCTCTCCCAGAGATACCCTTCTTAGGGACCCCTTTCAAGGCATGGCTGTTATCCCCGCCCCTTCCGCTTCCTCTTCATCTTTCCATGTTTCCTTCCAGTCAATCTTTGAGTCAATACCACCCCTGGATTTCTTTTCTGAGAAACAGCTGCTCCTGATTTCCCCTCTGGACTTGAGCTCTTTTTGGCTTGCCATTAGCTCTAACCTCTCTGGAGGTGTTGAGCCACACTCAGCAGATGGCTGCTGCAGTCTCCCCTGAAGGCAGTGTTTGAAGAAGTGAGCCATTGGGAAGAGAAGGCTTCTGGTCTCCAGACAGAGATTTGTGAAGCGCCCTTTCAGAGGAACTGGAAGTAATAAAGGGGCAGGTGTAGGTTTCATAGTAAATTTTCAAACTGCGCAATTTTAATTAGCTTGAGATGTGAGATCTTTCATTATCATTTTGAAAGCTTTAAGTAGTTGGTTCCAACCCTTTTGAGGTCATAGACCTTTTCAAGAAAATGGTGAAACTCACGAGCCCTCCAGAAAAAATGCACTTAGTACTAAGCTTTATGGAAGTGATTCTCAAGGGGAAGGGGGCTTTGCACCACCCCCTCCCCCCACCCCGACGTTTGCCAATGTCTGGAGGTATTTTTTATTATCATGACTCGGGAGGTGGGTGCTACTGGCATCTAGTGGGTAGAGGCCAGGGATGCTGCTAAACATCCTACAATGCTCAGGACTGACTACCCCAGAAGAAAGAATCACCTGGCCCAAAATATCAAGTGTCATGGTTGAGAAAACCTGTTTCAGTGAAATCAGACAGTTCCCTAATCCCCTGCAGCCCATCCATGAATCCCAGATTCAAGCTGTTTTCATTCTTCTTGAATCACCAATTACTGAGCACTGTGATAGCATACTAATGATTGGTCTGACTCCCAGTTATTTACCATACTTAGTCATTACACAGAGCCTTTATATCTATGTAATGTGACGGTAGACAATAGGACTGTATAAAGGCAAATAATGATAGTGAGATTCTGACTCACCCTCCAAACATCCTGATGGGGAAACTGGTCTGGGATGCTTTCTCAAGTTTGGAGGCATTTTAAACACCGAGATGAATGACTGTGGAGATGTTAATGGTAACTACGGTTATCATGGATTGAACCTTTCCTGCATGTGAGTCTCTATACTAAGATTTTTTAATAGATTATCTAACCGCACCGCTTACTATTCAGTGGATTCTGATTCATGGCAACCCCTTGTGTTACAGAGTATAACTGCTCTGTAGGGTCTTCTTTGCTGTAATCTTTATGAAAGCAGATCCCCAGGCCTTTCTTCCCTGGAGCCACTGGGTGGGTTCAAACCCCCAGCTTTTAGGTTAGCAGCTGATCACAATCACTTGTGCCACCTAAGGACATTCTTAGTTTAGCTAGTCCTTTAAAAAAAAGTTATGAAGAAGGTGTAAGTATGAATTTACAGAGTGGTTAAATAATTTGCTCCAGACCATACAGCTAAAAAAGTAGACTTTAAACAATCTCATTCCCTGCGTTCTATTTAAATAGAGCAATGCTATAGGAGAGATTCTGCCTAAGATGAAAAAGAAAGTAAAGGAACGGGCTAAATTTCAAAAATTTTCTCAGGAGGTGATATCAATTATTTGTGAAAGTGTCGGTTGTTATGTACTGAGATGCAAACCTCCAACTTAGGGAAGCGAATGTGGACAAATGGGGTGACTTTTCTGAGCCAACTTATTTCCTTTGTAAAAAGAAGCTGGAATAGATGATTTCAGTACTCTCCTAGCTCTAACATTCCTTTTGTTGATGACTTCTAACATGGTGATTATATGATTATGCACATTTGAGAAGTTTAGGGGCATCTAATCTAGTTCAAGTGCGTAATTTTACAGATGAGGAAACCAAGGACCACCATTCTTCCAGACTCTTACCCAAAATTGAGCCTGGAATCCATGTATCCTGATTTCTCTTTTCATTCCACCGTGTAAATCATCTTCCCAAACTATAAAATTGTCTGAATTATTGCTTGTGTTCTTGCATGCATACTTTACAGGCAAAATATAGTATAATATCTTTAAAACTCATGCATTAAATTTGCACCTTCAAAGGATCTTTAAATTAGTTCACAACCAGAAATTCCCAGGTAGCAGTTGCCCCGATACCTCCTATTCCAGGTTTGGATTTCTAGTATGTTAGGATGCTAGTCCCACTGAGCAATCAGATGAGATCATGAATGTAAAAGTATGTGGAAAGCTGTAAAACACTTATGGCCACACTCTTGGTCGATTCCAGAACCAAACCCATTGCCGTCGAGTCAATTCTGACGCATATAGACCCTCTGTTAACTCCCAACTCTGTCTCCCTTACTCGTGAGATACTTTTCTAGCCTCTCTTGAAGCTAGTGGTACCACATGACCCTGTTCTAGCCAGTGAGTCATAAGGGGCCACCTACAAGGAGGCCTCTGGGAGGATTGTACTGCCTGACAAAAGAGAGAAGCATGAGAGCAGGTGCAGCT